AAAATCATCTCTGATGGTACTCTATATCTTACTCTGAAAATAGATATCTTTTTATGTAACTCCGAATTTGGAGCTAAATATAGAGATAGTAAAACTTTTTTTTACAAAATACTTCTTTAATTTTGATATGTTTCTATTTTGTAACCAAATAAAAATTATATGTTTTATTTTTATACTTAAATAAAATTATAATAGAAAAAACTAGTTACATAATGAAGTTTTATTGGTGTGGTATACTTTTAATTTTAATAAAATCATAACTGTACTAATGTTTTGTCAAAAATACATAATGAATTGGTGAAATTTGTATATTTGTAGAGTAAAAATTTTCTTACAAAATTAATAACAAAATAAAAATGGAAATATTCTTGATGTACTGTTTTTTAAGAGTAGAAAATAGAGGTAACCATTGGAGCAAAACCATTCTCTATTTTTATAAAACTCTATTTTTAAAGTAAAAAATAGAGTAAATGGTCTTTTACGTAGATTAACAAATTCAGAAGGAGCAAGATTCATTAGATATTAGTTAATTAAACATTTCTTCATTAAAGCAATGAGTTTTAAAACGTAACTAAGTTTAGTAACATTAGTTAGTTAAATATTTATTCACATAAATTAGGTTTTAGTTTGGGCCTTAAATTGTGAGAAGAGGATTTAGCGCACGCATCAAAGAAAAAACTTCATAAATTCAGTAGTTTGTCCCACATCGGTACTTCTGCTCTAATCGTTCTTCTTTATATATAGCGACGAAACAGTTATACACCGTCGAGCTAAGTAACGAGAGCTTATAACCCGAGTGGGGACGTGTTGGATTAGTTGCTTCTGAGCTTGCCCCATCGAAAAATAACTTGTTCACTCACCTAAACTATCCTTGGCAGTGCTTCTGAGCTTGCCCCATCGATTACCTTGTCCCACACTCTTTTCCCTAAAGCTTTAAAAAACACCTTCAAAATTTTACACCTTATACTGTATATCAGTGAATACTTAGATGAGAATTCTCTCGAAACCCTTTGATATAGCTCGGGTCTCAAATATTTGGTGGTGACAGAGTTTATGTCTGAATTGAGATCATCAAAATCATCCTAAAAACTTCCTCGGGTTTGTGATATTTGGTGGTGACAGAGTTTACACCCACACTCTTTTCCCTAAAGCTTTAAAAAACACCTTCAAAATTTTACACCTTATACTGTATATCAGTGAATACTTAGATGAGAATTCTCTCGAAACCCTTTGATATAGCTCGGGTCTCAAATATTTGGTGGTGACAGAGTTTATGTCTGAATTGAGATCATCAAAATCATCCTAAAAACTTCCTCGGGTTTGTGATATTTGGTGGTGACAGAGTTTATGTCTGAATTGAGATCATCAAAATCATCCTAAAAACTTCCTCGGGTTTGTGATGACTTCTCTTTCTTTGAAGTACCTAAACGTCATAGATTATCCCGGCTCCTTTTGTTTAGCTGAACATATGCCTGAGCTTGTGGAAGCAAATCTTAAAGTTGGTAACCTTTTCAAATCTCTAACTTCTGTAGAGCCTTTTTTTGATATGTCAACCAAATCCAATGTATTCTTATTTTTCTCTATAAGCATTCTATCTTTTTCTTTAAACCAGACAAAGAAAATACGGGGTTTCTATGCGGTTTACGCAGATACAAAGGAAGCAAGAATGAGGAATTCTTGTAGTATGAAGACGGTGAAAATCCGCTCTGAGTGAGATGATCCTGAAGAAATATTTAATCAACTATATCTAAATCCGCCCATGGGCCTTAAAATGAAAATCGGATTTGCCGACATCAAAGAAAAAAAATTCATAAATAAAGTCCCACATCGGTACTTCTGCTTAGATTCTTCTTGTTTATATATAGCGAAGAACTAGTTTTCTCCGTCGAGCTAAGTAACGAGAGCTTCTAACCCGAGTGGGGACGTGTTGGAATAACTGTTCTTTGAACACACCGCCACTAACCTTGGCATTGCTTCTCTGTGTTTGCCCATAACATGTTGACTCAACACGGGAACTTAACTTGGCATTGCTTCTGAGCATGCCCCATCGAGTACCTTGTCCCACACTCTTTTTCCTTCCTAAAGCTTTAAAACACCTTCAAAATTTTACCCGAGTGGTTTGTATTGGTAAGCAGCCCCCTCTAAGGTTGAAAGCTATCCATCTGTGTCAGATGATACTGAAGAGCAACTTGAGATGCAGGTCAATTGAAGTTTTTAAGGGTTTTTTGGTTTCATTCCTCTATTTTATAATCTACGTCTATTTTTCTTGCTTATGAGTTACTATTCTTCTTGGTAACTCAGATAAAAATCCAAGTCACCTATGCCGGCGTTTCCATCAACAGTAACTGAAACTTTGCGTTTGTGAAGGCATGGACAAGATCAGTGAGTTGCCTGATGAATTGCTAGTGAAAATACTATCGTTTCTTCCAACATAAGTCTCTGTCAAAACGATGGATAAACCTCTAGATTTGGGTGACAACTAAAACTAAACCGTCCGAGCGCTACATGTTACATTACATCGACCTTCGATCATTAGAAGCTTGGGTCTCAAGTTTAGTACTTCTACATTTCAACCTAAAGATATTACACGGTGTTTGTGAAGGCATGGACAAGATCAGTGAGTTGCCTGATGAATTGCTAGTGAAAATACTATCGTTTCTTCCAACATAAGTCTCTGTCAAAACGATGGATAAACCTCTAGATTTGGGTGACAACTAAAACTAAACCGTCCGAGCGCTACATGTTACATTACATCGACCTTCGATCATTAGAAGCTTGGGTCTCAAGTTTAGTACTTCTACATTTCAACCTAAAGATATTACACGGTGGGTTAAAAATTGCAGTTTTCACTGCATCTGCGAGCTAAGTATTTTATTTATATAAAGATATTTTCACCCAAGTGAAAAGAACCCCTGGTTATAAACAGATCCTTAAAATGCATGTCAATGTTACGGAAATACAAAGTCATGCAAAGATAGATAATCTATCAGGAAGTGCTTTTTAGTACTGTTGAACCAGAAAATTACCACTAAAGATTTGATTAACAGTTGTGAGTTTCAGACAACAAGATTTTTTATTAATAGCTCTTAAGGCGAAGCAATTACAAAGATGGCTTAACCGAGAGGTTATGCCGAAGTGAAAAGAAAGTATTTGCGAGGTAAACTAGAAAGCGTTGAAGTTCTTGGTTTTAGCTTTGTTGCTGTCTAGATTGTATGACTTGTTCTCTTCAACTTCGGGGTCTTCTTATTTATAGGGATATGAGGTCGGTTCTCCGAACTCTTTTTCCTTTCTCCTTTTTGTGAATATTTTCATAGTTGCGATATGGAAATATCCCTTATTCTCCGATGAATATGGAAATTTTCTTCTATCATTCGAGTTAATCTGATGTTTCCGGACTTCAAAGATTATCTCTAGAAGTTTTCTTTTTCTGAGTTACGTCGGCGCAGTCTTCTCGGTCTTGGTGGGCTTAGATTATTGCTAGAGAAATACTTTTAGGAAATGTGCTCATTTCCCCTAACAGTAAGCCCCCCCCCCCCAGTTCGGCGAGACTGATTATAAATCAGGTCGGCGGACTTCATGAAGTTAAGCGGATTTGATCTCGTAATAAGCGTTAGCTCGTCAAGAGCGTTTTTTTCATAATGGCCAGCTCGGCCCGGTTTTAAGTGAGTTTGTAACGTGGCGCTTCCTTAGAATAAATTATTAAATATTCTGACCCATTAAGGTTTTGCTTTAAGTGGGAAAGGCGAAAGGTTTCCAGACGGCGAGATTGTGCGAATCTCGACACGCGTCCCTTTAGAAAATTGTTGATATTTCCTTATGATTTTATTTAGTTTTTATCTCTTCGTCTTCTTGCTTCAGATAGTTTTACTTTCTTCTGATTTTTTTCTTCTGTGATATTCTCTTTTGCTTGACGATCTTCTTTCTTCTTCTCTCGATTCCGGATCTCGTTTGAGCGCATTCTTTTAGAGACATGGGGTTAAGGAAGAGAGACAAGATTCCCTCGTTGGACATCGCCATCCCTGATTTCCCTTCGAGTAAGAAGCCCAGATCGGAGGCTCCGTCGCAAGATCCGATCATCAATGAAGATACTCTGCCGGATAAGCCTGATGTATGTGACTGTTGCGGATGCCCGCTCATCCCCAAGAATTTCAACAGAGGGCCCGGAAGTTGAATCGTCAATCGAGGAGCAAGACTCCGTCTTTATGACGGAGGAGCAAGAAACCAGCTCAACATGTTCGACGAGCAGTTCGCCGAAGGACCCGAAAGGCGTCGATGAGGACCCCGGTTTCAATCCTCACAAGTTCCTGCTACGCTAGAGCGAAGATTCCCCGGTGATGCTACTTTGCAGCGAATCTGGTTTGGCAATGTAGAGCGAAGCCGAACCAAGGGGCGTCGGTGGAAAAGCTGAAGCGGTTCGCTTGCTTCTCTGGAATGGCTCAGCACTTCTTACAGGGTTTAGGCCTGTGCGCATTTTTGATTGACTCGTATGATCGAGAATCAGTGCGAGAAGAGAAGAAAGACGAGGATCTTGTAGTCAAAGATCGAGACCTCCGTGATGCATTGGCGAAGATAAAGTGTTCTCTTCCCGGCGAAAACTCTCTTCCTCACGTGAGCATCGTCTTCTCCCTTTCGCTCCACCTACGTATCTGCTTCCACTCCTATTATCACCGAGACAACCTCTTCTACACTCTATTATCTCTCTTAATTTTGTCTATCGTCTTCTTCCTTGAATCAACATCCCTCCTCTCTTTGCCTACTTCCATCGATCTCTTTTGTTACGCTTCTCATCTTCTTAATTATGTTCCTCTTTATGTCTTTGAAACCTGATCTCTCCTTTCTTCTCGCTACGGACTAAAGCCGCACCACGACCACAGCGACAGACCAAAACAACAACAGATGTGAACTCTCTTTTTTTTGCCTTTAACGCAGTGGTGGCTTGAGATTGGTTTTGATAGGGTTTTAAATTGATTCTCCTCAAGAAAGGCGATCACACTTTCAATATGTGTATACACACATATGACTAATCAAATGGGCTTGGGCTTCACACGTTTAATTAATCCAAATTGGTCCAAATACTAGAATCGGGGTGTTACAGCAAAGAAGATTAAGACGGAATTAGAGTCGATTCTAACTCTCTTTCCTCTCCTGAATGTTCTTCGTTTGAGGTCTGTAGTGATTTTCGATCTACAGTTTCGCAAGCGCCACTTTCTCCAGGGTCAACCTCGATCCGAGCACCTCCTCGTCCGTACTGCTCCATGGTCAACCTCGATCCGAGCACCTCCTCGTCTGTACCATTCTCTCCCTCCTCTTTATTTTCCGACTATATATTACGATAGATTCTGCTAAAGAGTCACCATTGTCGTAGAACATCTCTCTTTATGAATTTCAGATTATATATGATTATTTTGGATTTGAGGTTCTTCTTCTAACGTTTGCTTCTCAAATATAATGTAAACATTATGAATTTTTTGCAGGCAACTCTTCAAGTGATGAAACTTGGATCGTTATCTGGCAATGAAGCAGAATTGGTGAGTGTTTCCAACAAAAATGATTACTACATGTACTCTATGTTTATGGTCATGGTGGATTTAGAGATACTTTGTCAAACATTGGTGGATTTTAAATTTTATGAGCCTTTTTGGGATTATTTTTTTGGCTCAATTGTCTTTGTTTAGTAGGATTAGCTATGATTGAAATATTTGTGTTTTGATCACAATGATGGTTAGAACATTTGTGAACTTCTATTTTAAAACTTTCACGTTTATTGTTCTTATCTCTCATTGTGGCTATCATAAACTGTCCTTATGATCATGTTCTCAAAGTTAAACTCATTGAGTCACTGTTTCAGGTTTTGGAATGTGCAAGTTTATACTGAAGCTTTACCTGAAAATTTGCTTATTCTACTTGATCCATTGTTGCCCGGCTTAAGCCGCAAGAGCATTTAGAACATCTAACATGCACATAAAATTCTAACAATTTTTTGGTGTTTAACATGTAGCTTTTTGTGTTTAGGATTCGACTGCAGCTTGTAGACGATCTCTGTGTAGCTCTCTCCAACATCAAATAAGTTGTCCTGCAGTCCACTTATTGCAAAGAAGCTATAATAACAATATAAAAGTTAACAAAGTATCAGAAAGAATATCAAAACGTTGAAGGTGATTAGGCCTCTGTTTAAAACACCTTCAAAATTTTACCTGAGTGGGGACGTGATGGTTCAGTTGTTTGTATTGGTAAGCAGCCCCCTCTAAGGTTGAAAGCTATCCACCTATGTCAGATGATACTGAAGAGCAACTTGAGATGCAGGTCAACTGAAGTTTTTTAAGGGTTTTTTTTTATTCGATTCCTCTATTTTATAATCTACGTCTATTTTTCTTGCTTACCAGTTACTATTCTTCTTGGTTACTCAGATAAAAATCCAAGTCACCTAAGGCCGGTGTTTCCATCAACAGTAACAGAAACTTTGCGTTTGTGAAGGCATGGGCAAGATCAGTGGGCTGCCTGATGAATTGCTAGTGAAAGTACTATCGTTTCTTCCAACACAAGTCTCTGTCAAAACGATGGATAAACCTCTAGACTTGGGTGACAACTAAAACTAAACCGTCTGAGCGCTACATGTTACACTGCATTATTGTAAGGAATCTGACATTACATCTTCGATCGTTAAAACCTTGGGTCTCAAGTTTATGTTATAGTGTATTCAAATGTGGTAGCGTTATTTGACGGCCACTATTAGAAGAATAAGGAACGACTGAGATTAAATGTGGAAACTGATCGAGACTGCTTAACTACGCGAGGAAAGAGAAAAGAAAATTCATTCAGAAAAAGTTTGTTACCAATGATCATATTCTTCATCTCAATTTCTCTGTAAGGATCTTTTCTATCAAACTCAGATTCTTAAAGTGTGCTGAATTCTTTGTTTGTTTTGAACATTGGATTTGGATTGTGAATAAAAGTGGTATTCGTTTTATTCATTATCAAAGTATCAGACGTCGGTCAGTTCTCGTAAGCTATGGTGGAAACTCGATCTCAAGCGGCTATTGCTGAAGACGACGAATTTATGAATTGGAGGTTCGATCAAATGCTCTGTCATCATCAGGCACTAGAGAATCGCGTTACAGAGCAAAATGCGACTATCACCAAGAACACGATGAACATATTCGAAGCCATCCGCCTTCTAACACTCCCCCGCGACAATTCACCATCATCGGGACAACCTAATCAGATGCACAACATGAAACATGGCCAAAAATCCAGATCGGGTAACTCGATGAACTATTCTGGAATCACTAGGCTAGCTAAATTAGATTTCCCGAGGTTTAATGGTGCTAGGTTGAAAGATTGGATCTTGAAAGTAGAACATTTCTTCACAATAGATCATACTCCCGATGATCTTAAAATTGCGATAGTTTCAATTCATCTGGATGATATCACGGCAATTTGGCACCAATCCCTGGTTGAGGACGAACAAGTAAATCTGGATCGATTGGATTGGAATAGCTATAAGCTGATGCTCAAAGAGAGGTTTGATGAAGTGTGGGATGATCTGATTGCAAAGCTGAAGAAGTTAAGGGAAACAGAGGGAATCGTCGAGTATCACAACAAGTTTGAATTGATCAGTACCAGAGTGAAATATCTGGTTAGTAATTACTTGGCAGGACTACGGATGGATACTCAAATGCACGTTTGTATATTCCAACCTCAGACGGTTCGTCAATGCCTTATGTTGGGAAGACTCTACGAAACAGCTCATCCACAAAAGAGTTCAGGAACAGCTTGGTCTACAACTAAGAACCCTCAATCCAGTAAAGGGATCTTACCAACACCAAATAAATCAGACACGAGGTGGTAAACCAGCTGTAATGGAGAAAGTAAATGAACACCGAATACAGCCAAAGCCATTTTTTATCATCGGAAGAGATGAATGATCGAAGGCTGAAAGGGCTGTGTTATTTTTGCGATGAGAAGTTTTTACCGGAGAATTTTAAAGTCCATAAGAAGGCTCAACTCTTTGTCATGGAACTCGATGAGGATATGGATGTTGAGAACTCAGGCGAGTCTACCGAAAATATGGAACCAGAAAGAGAAATTACTCATATCTCCCTAAATGCTCTATCGGGTATATCTGATTTCAACACTATGCGAGTGTGAGGAGTACATCAGAAGAGATCCTTATTCATGTTGATTAATTCAGGCTCCACGCATAATTTATTGGATACAGCCGTGGCTGAGAAATTAGGCTGTCAGCTATTATCAAGCGGAAATGCTCGAGTAAGAGTAGCTGGTGGAATTAAGCTTGACGTTAACGCAAAAGTGGATCAGTTTTAGTTGGATTTTTAGGGTACTAGCTTCACGGAAGATGTCATGGTGCTTCTCCTGAATGGTTGTGACATGGTGTAAGGGGTTCAGTGGCTTCACAAGTTAGGTCCCATCAGTTGGGATTTCAAAAACCTCACTATGAAGTTCTTGTGGGGCAACATAAGAGTGGTGCTTCATGGTATTCACCCAGGGCCAGTAAGGTCTGTTAAAGCGGAGAAGTTGAACAAAATACATGAAGACTCTGTCCAACTATCAATGATTTGCATCTGTGATGTTGAGCAGGAGGACACAACTACATGTTTTTCAGTTGAAACGGTGACACCTCCTCAAGTGCTTCCTTCTCCTATTGAGAAGTTAATAGATAAGTTTCAGGATATCTTTAAGGAACCTGTTGGATTACCACCATTCTGAAAGGATCATGACCACAAAATACAGTTGAATGAAGGTGCTAACTGCTAACCCGGTGAATCAACACCCTTATCGCTATGTTGCTCATCAAAAGAATGAGATAGACAAGATGGTGAAAGAAATGTTGGACAGTGGCACGATTCAACCGAGTTCTAGTTCTTTTGCATCACCAGTGGTGTTGGTTAAGAAGAAAGATGGCACATTTGACTACAGAGGCTTAAATGGGTTGACAATGAAGGATCGGTTTCCTATTCCATTGATCGAGGATATGATGAACGAGTTGGGAGGGTCCAAAATCTATTCGAAGATAGACTGGCGCGCATGGTATCATCAAGTCAGAATGTGTCCACTTGATATTCACAATACAGCTTTCAACACACATGGCGGTCACTATGAGTACTTGGTAATGCCATTTGGCTTAACAAATGTCCCTGCAACCTTTCAAGGCTTGATGAATTCAACTTTCCACGAGTTCTTGAGAAAATTCGTCTTAATGTTCTTTGACGATATACTCATTTACAGCAAGTCAGCAGAGATGCATGTGCAGCACTTGCAACAAGTTTTTGAAGTCAGGAGGAGGAAAAAACTATATGCTAAAAGGAGCAAGTGTGCTTTTGCAACTGCACGGGTTGAATATTTGGAACATTTTATTGAGGAAGAAGGCATTTCTACAGATCCCACCAAACTCAGAGCTGTTGATGACTGGCCGGTTCCAACAAATTTGAAACAACTGAGAGGGTTTATGGGATTGGCCGGGTACTATATGCGTTTTGTGAAGAACTTTGGTAGTATAGCACACGACCTCTCACTATGCTTACAAAAAAAGACTCGTTTAATTGGTCCCAAGAAGCCAAAGACGCCTTTGAGACGTTGAAACAAGCCTTATGTATGGCTCCAATATTGGCTTTGCCTCTCTTTGATAGACCATTTTTAATTGAAATGGATGCATGTAGTCAAGGCATTGGTGCCGTGCTTATACAAGAAGGACACCCTTTAGCTTATATCAGTCGTCATCTTAAAGGGAAGCAACTGCATTTGTCAATCTACGAGAAGAAGTTATTGGCAGTGGTTTTTGCAGTTCAGAAATGGCGACACTATCTCGAGTTATTTTGTCATCAAAACAGATCAGTGAAGTCTGAAGTATTTGCTTGAACAGCGTCTGAACACACATATTCAGCAACAGTGGTTACCTAAAGAAGACAAAGAGAATTTAGCTTTGGATTCTCTCTCTCGGGTTGAAGGTGCAGAGATTTTGCATATGGCTCTATCTGTTTTGGATTGTGATCTGCTACAGCGAATTTAAGGCTGTTGTGAGACTGATAGCCAGATCCGTGAATTGATCTCTGAGTTGAAAACGAAGCCAGGATGCAAGAAGCATTTTATATGGTCTCGTGATATTTTACGCAGGAAGAGCAAAATCGTGGTCCCTGCTGATCTTTCACTACGAGATACTATCCTTTAGTGGCTACATTGCTCGAGTGTGGGTGGTCACTCAGGCAGAGATGCAACACATTAACGCGTTAAAAGCTTGTTCTATTGGAAGGGTATGACTAAGGACAGTCAAGCGTATATTCGAAGTTGTTCTGTTTACCAGCAATGTAAGTACGATACATCTGCATCTCCCGGATTATTACAGCCTTTGCCAATATATCAATCTATTTTGACATACATCTCTATGGATTTCATTGATGGTCTTCCAATGTCTTTTGGCAAGTCTGTGATTCTGGTAGTGGTGGATCGATTGACGAAAGCTGCCTATTTTGTTGCACTAAGGCTGCAACCGTGTCGCAAGCATTTTTAGATAATGTATTTAAATATCACGGATTCCCAAGCTCGATTGTTAGTGACAGAGATGTTATATTCTTGAGTAAGATTTGGCGAGAGCTATTCACATTACAAGGCGTTGCTCTTAAATACTCGAGTGCTTACCATCCACAAAGCGATGGTCAAACGGAGGTTGTCAATCGTTGTTTGGAAACTTATTTGAGGTGTATGTGCATACCTTATTTATGGAGCCGGTGGTTGCCTCTTGCTGAGTTCTGGTACAACACTAATTTCCACTCTTCTGCTCAAATGAGCCCTTACGAAGAAGTTTATGGTCATAATCGTATGGAGCAGTCAGCATATTGTCATCGTTATGACCGGGCTCAAGTAAAGTTGCTGTGGTTGCTAAGAGTTTGCAAGATCGTGAAAACATGCTTCTCATCTTGAGGTTTCACTTATTGCAAGCTCAACATCGTATGGAGCATTCAGTAAATCGTCATCGTTCTGACCGCAGCTTTGACATTGGTGCATTTGTGTTTGTCAAGCTTCAACCTTATCGCCAGGGTTCTGTAGTGTTACGAGGGAATGAGAAATTGTCTCCTAAGTATTACGGCCCTTATAAGATTCTGGATAAATGTGGCCCTGTTGCATACAAATTGGAGTTGCAGCTACAAGTCTCATTCATCCAGTTTTCCACGTCTCGCAGCTTGAACTGTGAGTCGGTGATACATCGGTCAGTACTGCTTTACCCTCCGTTGTATCTAGATGTGCTGTCTAAAGAACCAGAGCGTATTCTTGAAAGACAGATGGTTAAGCAACAAGGTAAACCATCAACTAAAGTCTTGGTAAGTGGACTAACAAGGCTGAGTGTGAGACTACCTGGGAGTTTTTGTATGATCTGTTACAGAAATTTTTTCAGAATTCAACCATAAGGTCCTGATTGCTTAAAAGGGGAGGATTTTGTTATAGTGTATTCAAATGTGGTAGTGTTATTTGACGGTCACGATTAGAAGATCAAGGAATGGCTGAGATTAAGAAAATGTGAAAACTGATCAAGGCTGCTTAACTACAGGAGGAGAGAGAAAAGAAAATTTATCCAGAAAAAGTCTGTTACGAATGTTTATCTTCTTCATCTCAATTTCTCTATAAATCTCCTTAACGATCTTTTCTATCAAACTCAAATTCTTAAGTGTGTTGAATTCTTTGTTTGTTTTGAACGTTGGATTCGGATTGTGAATAAAAGTGGTATTCGTTTTATTCATGTTTTATTCATTATCAGTTTAGTATTTCTACATTTCAACCTAAAGATATCACACGGTGGGTTAAAAATTGCAGTTTTTCACTGCATCTGCGAGCAAAGTATTTTATTTATATAAAGATATTTGCACCCAAGTGAAAAGAACCCCTGGTTATAAACAGATCCTCAAAATGCATGTCAATGTTACGGAAATACAAAGTCATGCAAAGATAGATAATCTATCAAGAAGTGCTTTTTAGTACCATGAGAGGAAAGGCTATAAACATAAAAAAAGGGTGGTAATCAATAAATCTTTCAAAGTTTTTAATATATCAAACTAGCCATATATTAAACGAAAAGGGGCACAAACGGTAGCGACACGAACGAAAGACAATTTTGTGAAAACTAGAAATAGTATATACGTTTAGGATTTTGTGGGGCGACGTGAGACCGACCCGTATTGAATGGCACTTCCATAAAATGTCGAGTGGCTTCCTCTGTGTCATTGTCAACTTTCCTTGGGTTCTATGCTCAAACAAAAAAGAAGAGAATACATTTTCATAATGCAAGAGTGATATATAGAAGTTTTTGTTGAGGCTCAGTCTCAAAAGCATAAATCACATCAAACCTAAATCGAAGTAGTTTCTTAAACAGTTTTTGTTCACTCTCTCCCACGTGTACAATCAAGTTATTACATAGAGCAGACATTCTTAACCCTAGTTCACAAGAAGACAAAATGGAAAAGCTCTTCCTTGTCGTCCCAAAATATATACTCAACCCATCTTTAAACTCGCCACATTAATCAGAGGTATGTCTCAAACTACTTTTGATCTTGATTTGCTTGTTCAGCAATTTTTCATCTTCACAATGTTAAATATATTGAGCATAGAATCCATAAGAGTAAAAAGAAAAACAAGAGATACGAAGAAGCTTAATTAGAAAATGATTCATTGGCTTACAAAATAATTAAGTCAAATCCACCGGTTTCGTTCATGAAAATCTTGTTATGGTTTTCTTAACCGCGACCTTTGTAACTTATAGATATTTGATAATGGATTTTCGGTCAATCTTTAACTTATTATTATTCGTCAAAACATGAATTAGAAATACATTAATTAAATATTTCTTCCCTAGATTTTAGTAAATTATTTTTTAGTTTGGGCCTTAAAATAAAATTATGATTTGCTCACATCAAAGAGAAAATTCCATAAAACCAATATTTTCTCCCACATCGGTTATTCTTCCCCAATTGTTCAAATTTATATATAGCAAAGAACCACTTATTTACCGTCGAGCTAAGTAACATGAGCTTGTAACCTGAGTGGGGACATGTTGGAACCTGGCGCTGGTGTGGCATGCTTCTTAGCTGTCCTGTATACGTTGCTTCAGTCTAGGCTGCCCAGTTGCTAAATTGATCATAACATGTAAACATTTTTAAAACCCTATCAGACTTTACCGAGGAGCTGTTCTTGTGGATTGAAGACGGTAAAAATACCCTCTGAATCTGAAACTTGAGATGAACTAAATTGTGATCATAACAAGTAAACATTTTAAAACCCTATCAGACTTTACCGAGGAGCTGTTTTACTTGTCAACCCTTTGATGTAGGACTTCTTGTGGATTGAAAGACAGTAAAAATACGCTCTGAGTCAGATGATCCTGAATCTGAAGAGCAACTCGAGATGGTCGAGAACTTAAGCATTCTCGCCCGGAGCTTCAAGTTAATGTGAACTTGTTTTCTGTGTCCAAAGAAACATCAAATTCAATCATTTTCCAGTTTGACTTGCATAAATATACTGTATAAGGTCATTTGTTTAAATAGTTCTTCTTGCAATTTTATTGTGAAAAGAGGACATTTGTAGAGAAAATTGTAAAAGGAGTACTACTGTGTTCGCAGTCTATCGTGGGTATGATATTAATTTATATTCAGTCTGCCATTAATATATTTAATCTAATTTTAAATGCATGATCAATTAGTTTACAACTAGTATGTTATTAGTGTGCATTTAGTTTGCATGATAATAGCTAAAACGGTAGTACTGTTATTTTTACAATTTTCTCTAAAAAAGTTTATGTTTTACATTATTTTCCTAGTATGATTATTTTGGATCATATATATACTTTATCAGTATGTATGTGCGGATAAATAAATTGATGTTCCTAGCAAATCAAGTAATTAAAAAAGAAAATAAAAGAAGCTTTTTTTGAAATCCATCTCTTGTGCTAAATAATTTTTTAAAACAACAAAGTCTCAGGCTTGTAAAGAAACCTAAATCACGTACTGTATGTGTTTGTACGAGCATCCACATTGGTTAGATCTCTAAAATAGAGTATCTTAATTATTTAATATAATATTTTGGTTACTTAATATATAATTAAATTTAATATCTAAAATAAAGGAAAGCAATTGAAAAATGATAAATATTTTAGAGAGGTTCTTAAACGTTTAGAACTGATTCTTAAATAAGCAATTTTTAAAATTTTAAGAACTTTTCTCTTTTCTCTCTTTTATTTTCTGATTTTTTTTTATTTTTTAATATTATAATATTTTTCTAAGAATTTATCAAGAACTATTGATAGAGATAATATAAGAGCAGCAACATTGGAAATCTTTTAAAGTAAAGTTTTTAAAAAATATTTTATTAATAAAAAAACAATTAAAAAAAAAATTGACGAATCGTGTCTCGCCACATTATAGAATTATGAGAAATATACTCAAATAGACTCTGCACAGAAAACGGATTATGTGGCAAATCTCACCACATCATTTTTTTATTTATTATTTTTTTTTCTTTAAAATGTTTAGAAAAGATCTCCGATCTAGACAAATTTTAGTCAGCTTAGTGAAAAAAAATATAAGAAATAAGTCACAAATTTAAGCTAAAAAATCCCCATCTATTTTGTAGAAAACAAGTTAACTAAACCCAAACTTAATGTTTTGCCCTAGGGCCTCGTTTTTGTTCGATTCAAAGACTCATCATCACTGAGCTTGGACAAGTGAAGAATTTTTAGGGCTTTTTTCTTCTGTTCCTCTGTTTTATTTTCTTTCCTTATTTTTCTTGCTGATCAGTGATCTCTATATTCTTGAAAGTCCCCAAAGGCTATTGAAGGTATGGACAAGATCAATGGGTCGTGAATTGCTAGTGAAAATACTAACATTTCTTCCAACAAAAGTCTCTGTAAGCACAAGTGTTTTGTCAAAACGATGGGAAAACATCTGGATTTGGCTGACAACTCTAGAGTACGAAGACAGTAAAGCTAAACCTTCTGAATGCTACATGTTACGCCGTTTTATGTTAAGGAATTTGACATTAGATAGGCCTCCGATCATTAAAAGCTTGGGTCTCAAGTTTAGTACTTCTCCATTTCAACCTATAGATATCACATGGTGGGTAAACATTGCAGTTTCTAGCCGTATCTGCGAGCTGAATATTGCTTATTCTTTTACTTTTCGTCCCAAAAAATCTTACCGTATTGCGTCGGAACTTGTTTACCTCCAAATTGCTAGTGACCCTGAAACTTCATGATGATATTCTCTTGGATGTTCCTCTTACGGTTTGTCTTCCGTCTCTGAAATTTTTGCATCTTCGACATGATACGTAATGGAAAATTCTCGTCAAATACTTCTATCCAATTGCCCTGTTCTTGAAGATCTAATTGTCGAAATGAGTATAGCCATGTGCGAGAGATTGTTGTTCCAAGTAGCTTGATTCTGTCCAACTTCCACGTTCGTGTGAAGAACTTTTTAGTGAATCTCATAAACTAATTGGTCAAAGTTTATGGTTCAGGTTCTCAAAGAACTCATAAACTAAGAGTCCTCGAGCTCTACGTCGATGATGTAAGTATAATCATCTCCCCTCTGAATATTATTTTGGTCTAATACAGTCCACAAAGTAAACCAAACTCTCATGTATGATTTCAGGAACAGGCATGTTATGGTAGGGACCCATTTGTTTTCTGGAAGAATCAACTAAGTTATGTTTCTGAATGTTTGTTTTCAGGTCTCGAAACTTTCAAGTGGACAGGGTTCAACGGAGCACAAGAAGCAAGAGATCTCGTGATTTTCATCTTGAAAAATGCTTATCGATTAAAGACCGCGACGATCTTGACTGCGTCAGAGTTGGATATACTAAGGAAACTTGAAATAATCAAGGAGTTTTCACTTTCTTCCCGAGCTTCAACAGTGTGCCAACTAGCATTTGATTGAGGATTTGAATGATAATAGGATTTTAACTTGAATTATTTCCGTCAATATTGTAACAATGGTCAGATTTTTCCAAATGTGATTATAGTCTAAGGACAAACAAATGTTGTGGTATATTTCTTTTTTTACATCAGGTTTAAGTGTTTTTTTTCTTATTATCTACGAAAGACTAGGGCTAAAAAGGAAGTTTGCCTATATCTTTTATCTTTTTTTCTCACGTTAACAACAACTCTTCAGGTACTCAAAGTCTCTTCGAACTACTTCTTAAGGTCGAGAAGTGAGCTTTACTCAGCATGAAATAAGTCTTGTACTTGTAAGGATACATTATAGTCAATTTTGGGACCTTGTGGTCGTGGTATTCGAGGTCGGGGAAGAGGAGGTCGTGGCTAGTTTGTTCTACATTGCTCCTTTTAGTATTGTCGATACGGTAGATTCGACTATTAAGTTTTGTTGTTTTTATGCTTTGCACTTATGCAATCTCTTGTAAAACTTTTGTCACTTGAACTTGTTTCAGGTTTCAATGAATAAAATTTGTTTCTAGAAAAAAAAAAATGATCCGGAGGCCAAAACCAATGAAAATCCAGAATGATTTTTTTGTTTTGTTTTTCTTTTTGTGTTCCCTTGGGCCTCTTATATGTTAGAGCCCTGTAAGAGAGTAGTATCCATTTATATAGAAAGAGTACTCATCATCCAGTTCCTTTGACAAATTGTAGATTTTCTAGGGTTTTTAATTATCATCCGGTTCTTCTGCATTTGGTGTTACTAGTCTTCTGAGTGGCTTAGACAAAAATTCAAGCCTCTTACCCTACAGTGAGAATAACAGAATCTTAGTGGGTTTTTGTTTAAGTTATGGACAAGATCAGTGGGTTTTCTGATGATGAATTGCTTGTTAAGATCTTAACGTATCTTCCAACAAAAGTTGCGGTAAGTACGAGTGTTTTGTCGAAGCAATGGAAGTTTCTTTGGATGCGCGTGCCAAAACTTGAGTACGATGACCGTAGAATTTTTTATGAAACTCAATCTATGCTTCTTAAGGGTGACACTGCTAGAGCTGTTTCTTTACTGTCAAAGAGCGAAAGGATCCGGTGTTTTATTGACAGGAATCTGCCATTCCTTAGATCTCCGGTCATAGAGAGCTTGTGTCTCAGATTCTCCACCGCACCATTTAAACCTGAAGATATAACATCGTGGGTCGCACTTGCAGTTTCACGCTCTGTGCGTGAGCTAAGCGTTGACTTTCTTCATTGCATAAGCGTGCCTAATGCTTTACTTCCAAGCAGCTTGTATACTTGTGAATCTCTTGTTACATTGAAACTGGAAGGTAGGGTTCTCGTGGACGTTCCTCATGCTGGCTGTTTCCCCTCTTTGAAAACTTTGCACCTTCGATATTTGACATACGCAGATGAAGAATCTTTTCAACGACTTTTATCAAGTAGCTCTGTTCTCGAAGATTTGGTTATCCAACGTCGGTTATATGGTGACAATGTGAAAGAGGTAGTTGTTATCATCCCATCATTGTTTAGTTTATCCTTTGAGGTTACTGATTCATGTGGGTGTGTGATTGATACTCCTTCTTTGAAGTATTTCAAAGTTAAGTATTATAGTAAGAACCCCTCTTATTTGATTGTGGATATGCCTAAGTTGGAGGAGGCAGATATCACTGTTTTTGGATTCTGCAATATCAAGAAAATTCTTAAACCTGTCACATCGGTCAAGCGTCTTTCATTACACTTACTAAGGAACGTGAAAGAGGTAATTTGAATCTATTGATAAACTGTTACGTATGAATTTGGGAAGCCCATCATCAGACCCAAGAGGCTCTAAATGGTTAACGGGTTAGAGTAAATGTGGGCTCGTTCTTGAGGGTTAGTAGTAATGCCTAGTATAAAAGAGGATTGTGGGAGATTAGAGAGAGGGATCACGGAGTTGATCAAAGTGTGTGGGAGAGGAAAAGAGACCTCTCGAACCCTTCTCTCTAATCGTGTTTTTACGTTTATCAATCTATAATAAAGAGTGTTATTATTAGATCGTGCCTTTGTTCTACCGTTCCGATACGTTTCATGTATCAAATGGTATCAGAGCAAGACGATCACCGGGAAAACATGCCTCCGCGAGTGCAAAAATCCGACGAACGAACTGACATGGAGAAGGTATTCGAACAACTTCAGGCAATGACGGCGATTCTCGAGAAGGTGAACGTGTTGGAAGCAAGGGTGAATGCGTTGGACAAGCTTGCAAAGCTTCCCTCGCAGATCGTTTACCTCCAGCAGAAGATTGAAGAGATTGATCGGGGAGAGAAGAAAGAGACGATGGTATCAGAGACGTTGGTTCTCGGATCTGACTCGGATCAGATCGCGACTTCAATCGAAGGATCTCAGGAGAGCCTTCTCTTGAATCCAATGCCATCTGCGGAACAAACTCATCAAATGGTCCTGCAGAAGAAGGACGAATCATCGCGGAGGATCGAGCCTATGTGCAAAGCAGGAAACACTACCAGCTGGATCCTTAGAGGAAAGCAGTCACGAATGAAGAAGTGACGGGATTGGTGACAGGGATAAAGGAAATGGACGAAGAGGAGGAAGAAAAACAGTCAGAGGCCGATATGTATAAGCTTGCCTGCCATGTGTTCGACGAAATGAATCTGCGAGGAAAGAGGTTAATAAGGAAGCGAAAGAGGAAGAGATGGAAGGAGATGGCAAAGAAGAACGATAAAACTTATGGAAGGTTAGCGAGAGACAGTAAGAGCGAAGGAGGTAGGCTGGAAAAAATGATACGAATGTTGAATGGCCAGAAGTTGCAAGGTGATGCTGAGGGAAAAAAGGTCAAGCACAAACGGATGTTGTCAAAGCTGCCATTGAAACACACACAGCAGTGAAGAAGAAGCTGGCCAGGTGGAAGAAACACAAGTTTAAACAGAAGCAGAAGATTAATGAGAGTGGTGGTGGTAAGCAGATTGTTTTTTGCTGGAATGTAGGCAGAAAGAGAAAGAAAAAGAGCTTCATAATGCAGAAGATGAGTAAACTATCTGCCAAGATGATGTCTCTCCATGGAGCGGCAAGGAACTGGAAAAATTTCAAGAAATGCGCAGAGAAAGCATATGCAAGATCGTGGGGCTCATTTTAAAAGATTGCACTATGCTGGCTAACCCCTTACCTCGGGGTTGGCGATCGCAAATGTAATTGTAAGACTGCAGTGGCTTGAGGTTTTGAGGAACAAAAGAGTTCACTGGAAGGAAATGAGGCGGTTATAAAGTTTTTCGAAGCTACTTGCCGGATATTCCAAGGACATGAAGACTTGACTCTAGTTTCAGGTTACAGGACACCAGCGAGTTTGGTGGGTACACTGTCCAAACACGCGCAGCTCAGGGAGGCAAAAATCAATCCTACTCTCCAGGGAACCCAACTGATAAGGACTTGGGACGAGCAGGTACATGCTGTCATTACTATAAGTCAGCTGATTGAAAAAGGGCTGTTAGAAGCAGAACGAGGTACTGAAGTGAGCTATCACAGGAATTCCACAGCTGAGGAAGCTCTCAACAAGGGGGGAGGACTCTCAAAATTTAAGTACTCTTGGAAGCGGAAGTGTGTCATCAACAACCTTGTGGACGAGGATGAACTCAAAGAGAGAAGTAATACACACGAAAGCGATAACCCTCTTGTCATCCTTCAACACAAGAGACATGAAAAGGAAGAGGAAACATAATGAGATGACGACCTGGGGTGTGAGAGGAAAATCGAAAGAGATAACAGAGCTAGCTGAGTTATACGACAAGTTAGTGGATGGGCTGCCATCTTCTACAACCTGGGAACGCAAAGGGGCAATGAAACTAGACGAATTGGTGTTAATAATGGACAACAAAGTCTCTTATAATTCTATTGTCTTCATCCGTGTTCTGGGAATCTAGCCAGCGAAGGCCACCGATTATGGAGTGCCTAACTGCCTATAGTAGCAAGGACAACAAAGCGGGGAGAAAGCATATATAGAAACTTGGAGCTCAATCCGCAAAACGGCAAGGTGGAGCTCAATCTGCAAAACGGCAGGGAGATTGCCGTTTCAGTCTCCCTGGCGTTGGACATCGTGGATGTATTAGTGGGATTACGGTGGCTTCAGACTTTGAGGAACGGAGGAGTCAACTGAAGGGAGCAAGTAGCGTGGTTCACACTTGACGGAAACTCAGTAATCAGGGTGGAACATGGGGGTTTGCAAACCGATATTCAGTTGGAAGAGGTATGCATTGAAGAGGGCAGGGACCAAGAGTTGCACGGAATCCTTAGCTATCTGCAGAAGGAGGCCTATTACCACCCAGATGTCTGTGTTCTGCAGGGAAGATTATGTTGGAAAGAAAGAACTTTTAAGAGTGATGGAGAAGGTGTTTGAGAATTTGAAAGACAAAGGAACAAATTTAAGAAGAAGAAAGTTTTAGAACTTAGAGAGCTTAGGAACTTCACTTAACTTTTCTTATTATTTCTTTTAGCTTGTTAGTTACAAAATGAGAGAGGAGGTAGCTATTTATAGTCTCCAATGTACAAAATATCTAAAATATTTTATTCCTAATCTAGAGAATTCTATCTTAATATCTAGATTATTTTACAACAATTATCTAGAGAAATCTATAGATATTTATTTTCTACAACTCTCTAGAACATTTTAAGGAGGTGGAAGTGTTGATTTTTCTAGAGAAAACTCTAGAATCTTTGATTAAGCATAATTGGGTTTTAGCCCAATTATTATTGGATCATTAACCCAATATTTAAGCTTGATCCAAAATCAAGTTTATCTTTCAACACCCCCTCTTAAACTTGATTTTGCTACTCCAAGCAAACTTCTCATCTTGATAAAGGCTTCACGCTTGAGTGGCTTGGTAAAGATGTCAGCTACTTGATCGTCCGTCTTCACGTACTCCAACTGCACATCCATCTTGGTAACACATTCTCTAATGTAATGATAGCGAGTGTCGATGTGCTTACTTCGATCATGGAAGACAGGATTCTTTGCCAAAGCTATTGCTGACTTGTTGTCCACAAAAATCTTCGTCGGCTCCTCTTGTGGTAAACTCAACTCCTTTAATAAGTTTCGTAACCAAATATCATGGCAAACACATGAAGTAGCCGCTACATACTCCGCTTCACAAGTGGAAAGAGTGACAATCGGTTGCTTCTTCGACATCCATGTGAAAGCTGTTTCTCCAATGAAAACACAAAACCACTTGTGCTTTTCCGATCATCTACGTCTCCACCCCAGTCGCTATCACTATATCCAACAAGCTTGTAATCATCAGAAATATAGTAATACAAGCCAAAGTCGATCGTACCTTTGATATAGCGAAGGATCCTCTTAGCTGCCTTGAAGTGAGTGGTTGTTGGATGCTCCATATATCGGCTCACAACTCCAACTGCATGTAAGATATCAGGCCTTGTGCATGTTAAGTAACGTAGACTCCCAACCAAACTCTTAAAGAGTGTTGGATCCACACTCTCTCCTTCATCATGCTTTGATAACTTAGCTCCACATTCCGTTGGAGTACAAACTGGATTCGAGTCATCCATCTTGAACTTCTGCAGCACTTCTTTAGCATAACCTTCTTGAGTGATGAAGATTCCATTGTCTTCTTTTTTCACTTCAATTCCAAGGTAGTAAGACATCAATCCAATATCGGTCATCTCGAACTCCTTCGTCATCTCCTTCTTGAATTCTTCGAACATACTTGGATTGCTGCCTGTGAATATCAAGTCATCTACATATAAGCATGCAATCAATATATCATTGTTCTGTGTTTTGATATATAGTGCATGCTCATATGGACACTTGATGAAGCTTTTCTCCTTGAAATACTTATCAATACGAGTGTTCCAAGCTCTCGGTGCTTGTTTCAACCCATAGAGCGCCTTCTTTAACCTCAAGACTTTGTCTTCTTCTCCTTTGACTATGTAGCCTTGTGGTTGCTCAATGTAGACTTCTTCCTCAAGATCTCCATTTAGGAAGGCTGATTTTACATCCATTTGATGTATCCTCCACCTCTTTTGGGCTGCTAATGAAATGATTAGTCTAACTGTTTCTAATCGAGCAACAGGAGCAAATACCTCGTCATAGTCGATTCCGGCTCGTTGACTATAGCCCTTTGCCACCAGTCTTGCCTTGTATCTTTCAACTTCTCCTTTGGAGTTCTTCTTCGCTTTGTACACCCACTTTACACCAATCGCCTTATGCCCATTTGGAAGTGAAGCTAACTCCCATGTCTCATTCTTCTGTATTGACTTGATCTCTTCATCCATTGCGTTTCTCCATGTCTTCTTCTCCATTGCTTCTTGGAAGTTCATGGGTTCGCAATCCGCAAACAGGCAAAATAGAGTAAGGTTTTCTTGATTTTCGGTTACCTCGTAAAGCTCTTGCAGACTTCTAAAACGTGGAGTCCTTTCACTCGAACTCTCATCTCCTTGAGAAATTGGTGTTGGTGAGGTTGGTGGAGTAATTGGATCCTCTCTTGGCTGCTCCAAATCATCTTCTTCAACATGTGGAAAGAAGTTGTAGTTCTCATCATTTGATCTCCAATCCCATTCTCCTTCTTCATCAAAGATGACATTCCGACTGATGATTGTCTTCTTTGTATCAGGATTGTAGAGCTTGTAGCCTTTGGAGTTTGCATCGTACCCAATGAAGATGTACTTCTCACTTTTGTCATCTAGCTTGCTTCGTTTCTCATCAGGTACATGAGCGTGGGCAAGGCTTCCAAAGACTCTTAGATGTGAAACACCGGGCTTTCTTCCACTCCAAGCTTCTTGTGGTGTTTTCTCCCAAACACTTCTTGTTGGAGATCTGTTTGATAGATAGACCGCACATGCAACTGCTTCTGCCCAAAACTCCTTTGGTAGCTTCTTACTTTTGAGCATGCTTCTTGCCATCTCAAGAATTGTTCTATTTTTTCTTTCCGCTACTCCATTCTGTTGAGGGGATCTTGGCACCGACAATTGTCTTCTAATGCCATTATCTTCACAATACTTCAGAAACTCTTTCGACATGAACTCTCCTCTTCGATCAGATCTCATGGCTTTGATCACAAGGCCACTTTCCTTCTCAACATGGGCTTTAAACTTTTTGAAGTTCTCAAACACTTCTGATTTTTCTTTCAAAAAGTAAACCCATGTTTTTCTTGAAAAGTCATCAATAAAGAGAAGGAAGTAGTTACTCTTACCGAGTGATCTTGGTTTAATTGGGCCACAAACATCTGTATGTATGAGCTCCAATGGCTTCCGTGCTCTTGTCTCTGACTCCTTTGGAAAGCTCATTTTGAATTGCTTTCCAAGTAGGCACCCATCACACACCTGATTTGGATGATTGATGCAGGGCAATCCTCTCACCATTTCTTTCTTAGAGAGTAGCTCCAAGCCTCCAAAGTTGAGATGTCCATAACGAAGATGCCAACGCCAAGACTCCTCTTTGTAGCACATCTTGAGACATTTTGCGATGTCATTTTGAATGTTAAGAACAAACATTCTATTCTTTGACATCGGCACCTTGGTGATGAGATTGTTAGCTTGGTCTCTTATAGAAAGACTATTCTCTTTTAGTCGAATGTCATAACCTTTCTCTAAGAGTTGTCCAAGGCTCAAGATGTTGGTCTTCATGCTTGGAATATAATAAACATTGGAGATGAACTGATGATCTCCATTCTTCATTCGGATGAGAATTTTTCCTTTACCTTTCACCTCCATCTTTGATTCATCTCCTAAGGCCACGTCTCCTTTCACCGACTCATCAAGCTCCACGAACATGCTTCTTTTCCCGCACATGTGATTGCTTGCACCGCTGTCAAGGTACCACTTGTGGACCTCATCTCTTTCATCCTTCTTGTACGCCATTAACAGCATATCTTCTTCTTGGCATCTTTCTTCAGCATAGTTGGACTTCTCTTCAACTCTATTGTTGTTTGGAGCTTTGCATTCAGAAGCATAATGTCCAAACTTCCCACAATTATAGCATTTGACGTTTGATTTGTCGTACCTTGATTTTGGAGTTCCTCTCCCACGTCCTCTTGATGAGCTTTCTCCTCTTTGGTTAGTTTTGTCTTCATAGGACCTCCAGCCACGTCCATTTCCATAACCACAACCTCTTCCTCGTCCTTGACCGCCACCTCTTCTTGGATGACTTCGGCCGCTTCCATCTTTGGTTTGATCAATTTGCATCTTGAGTACTTGTTCTGCAAGGTCTTCCTTCTTCTTATTCTTTTCTTCATAAGCTTGTAGTGATCCTAGTAGTTGCTCCATTGTCATATCCTCCAAGTCTTTTGTCTCTTCAATGACAGTGACAATATGCTCAAATTTTGAATCCAGCGATCTAAGAACCTTCTCCATGATTCTTACTTCATCTAGCTTCTCCCCATTTCTCTTTAGGTTATTAGTAACCGCTAGAACTCTTGAGAAGTAATCTTGGACAAGTTCACCTTCCTTCATTTGCAATGCTTCAAATTCTCCTCTTAGAGTTTGAAGACGTACCTTCTTGACTTGCTCTGCTCCCTTGTAAGAAGTTTGAAGCTTCTCCCATGCTTCTTTGGCCATCTTTGCTCCGGCGACCTTCTCGAATGTGTCTTCATCTAATCTTTGATAGATGAGACAGAGAGCCTTCTTGTCTCTCTTCCTTGAGTCTCTCAAACTGTCCTTTTGAGTTTGAGAAAGACTACCTTCATTCTCCGGTTCAATGTAGCCATTTTGGACAATCTCCCACACATCATGTGCTCCTAGAATGGCCACCATTCTTAGACTCCAGTTGTCGTAGTTGCTCTTAGTGAGCATTGGAACTTGGAAGGGAACACCATTACTTGCCATCTTTAAGAGAATCTTTTAGCTCTGCTACCACTTTGTTGGAAAGAAAGAACTTTTAAGAGTGATGGAGAAGGTGTTTGAGAATTTGAAAGACAAAGGAACAAATTTAAGAAGAAGAAAGTTTTAGAACTTAGAGAGCTTAGGAACTTCACTTAACTTTTCTTATTATTTCTTTTAGCTTGTTAGTTACAAAATGAGAGAGGAGGTAGCTATTTATAGCCTCCAATGTACAAAATATCTAAAATATTTTATTCCTAATCTAGAGAATTCTATCTTAATATCTAGATTATTTTACAACAATTATCTAGAGAAATCTATAGATATTTATTTTCTACAACTCTTTAGAACATTTTAAGGAGGTGGAAGTGTTGATTTTTCTAGAGAAAACTCTAGAATCTTTGATTAAGCATAATTGGGTTTTGACCCAATTATTATTGGATCATTAACCCAATATTTAAGCTTGATCCAAAATCAAGTTTATCTTTCAACAGATTACTCTTCTACAATAAGGCTGGGTACACACGAAGACTTACGATTAAGTTGGGGAATAAAGTCAGACTCCGATGTTGGGCAACTCAAGGACTTGCGAAGATCATGGGAAATGAGAGTTCGCAGGATAACATGGAACTTCAGATGCCACCATCTGCAAAAAGGGGTTCCTGCGGTTTCAGCAGCCGTTCCACCGGAAGAGATCAATCTTTGTTTTCCAACCTTGAGGACAAGGTTATTTTAAAAGGCGGGGGTAATGTTACGTATGAATTTGGGAAGCCCATCATCAGACCCAAGAGGCTCTAAATGGTTAACGGGTTAGAGTAAATGTGGGCTCGTTCTTGAGGGTTAGTAGTAATGCCTAGTATAAAAGAGGATTGTGGGAGATTAGAGAGGGGGATCACGGAGTTGATCAAAGTGTGTGGGAGAGGAAGAGAGACCTCTCGAACCCTTCTCTCTAATCGTGTTTTTACGTTTATCAATTTATAATAAAGAGTGTTATTATTAGATCTTGCCTTTGTTCTACCGTTCCGATACGTTTCATGTATCATAAACTTTAACCTTTTTTTTTTTTGAATTACCAGAGGGGAGGAGAGCACGTAATATGAGTCCCGTTCCAAGCAAAGATCCTCTTCAACTTCAAGTCTTCAATCTAAGTATCTAACTGAGTCATTAAAATTCCTTTGTACAGGTTGTATATGGTGACGATATGGATATTGTCTTGAATGAGCTTGAGCATCTGAAGCTTCGTACATTTAAGACTTACTGGTCAAAGATACTTTTCTCGTTGATCAAATGTTCTCCCAAACTACGAGACTTGAAGTTCAGAGTAAGTTTCTAAGACAAAGTGACAAACTATATATTAGTTTTGGTCTAATTCACTGTAAAGCTAACTCTTGTTTTTTTTTTGGAAAATCTAAGGAAGTATCTGTAGGTGATGGTATGGATACATTGGTTTGCTGGCAGCGACTGACTAGTGTTCCTCAATGTTTGTTGTCGAGTCTCCAAACTTTCGAGTGGAGTGGTTCCCACGTAAGCGTAGAAGGGAGAGATCTGGCGATGTATATCCTGAGAAACTCTTGCCGGTTAAAGACTGCAAAAATCTTGATTGGTTCTGCAGTGATGGAACGACAAAAGAATCTTGAGATGATCAATGAATTGATAGTTTGTTCCCGCGGTTCAACGATATGCAACCTCGTATTCGGTTGAGGGTTCCATGTTATAGGTGGGTGAGGCATGTGCCCCATACTAAATTTATAAATAATATATATATGTAACACTAACAGTTTAATAACTCAGTTGGTTTTGTAGCTAAATTTTTTTTTATATAAATCTAAATTCAATCTTTTTCCATGTTCTTCCTTTTCTAATTTTATTTATTTATTTAGTTTTATAAATTTTCAAAAATTAATGAAAACTATAATAATTTATGTTATAATTTTCATTATAGCTAAATTATTTTTCATATAAGCTCAAATTCAATCATTTTCTATGTTTTTTATTGTTTTTTTTTTCCAAATTCTTTTATTTATTTAATTTTATATATTTTCAAAAATTAACAAAAACTATAATATTTTATGTTATAATTTTTAATATTTATAATATATTTTAATTAATTTAATTATATTAAATATTTATAAATGTTGTGCCCTATACATAATTATTCATGCGTCCGCCCCTCCAATCATCGTTATATTGGAAAGATATATCTTAAAGATTGCATATGACATATTTGGATTTGCTCGATAAAAGTTGTATAATTTGATTTATATGATTTTATAGCTGTTTAAGTTTTCCGAGATATCAAAACATATGATACTGTATTTAGAGTTTATTTTTAAACAATAACCGTTTGGTTTTATGCGTTTCCCAATTCACTTTGAGTTAATTGTTAACCATCATAAATGAGAGAGAAATACATACTTATATAGTTATAATGAATTATTTTTTATTTTTTAAACTTTTTATTTAATAATTAATAATATTATCTATTCATCAATTTTTCTCATTTTATTGATAAAATTTAAGTAATAATAAGAAATAGTTTTTTTGTTTATTATTTATTAAATTAAAATTCATGTATACACAAATTAATAACAAATTATTATTTTTTATTTAAAACAATATATATATATATATATATATAAAATAGAAACTGCTCTCTTCTTAGGCTGCCACCTCATCAACACATACCTTAAAATTGTGATATATCATCAACCATTTTTATTAATTTTTAATTAATTTGTTATGTTTTATTTTCTTTAATCCTTCAATTTTTATAATAATTAATATTCATTAGTATGATAAAATTTAAATAGAATATGAAAAGTCATTTAGTTATAAAAATAAGTTATATATTAATTTAAAAACTTTAAATTGACAGTTGTAGTTATGTCATATTTATAATTAGAGAAAAATATTGATTTTTTGTCAACAATTATTAAATATAAATATGTTATAAACTTATATATGTTATTAGGAAGAAACAAAAAAAAATACATTAATCATATGAAATTTTTATAAAAAAAAATCAGTATTATCTAAAATATATCTAAAAAATATTAGAAATTTATGAAAAAGATTAACATTATATGAATAAACATTCTATTCAAATTTAAAAATAGAAAAATATATAACTATAATATATAATATAAATTTTTACATTTAAAATTATCTAACATTATCAAATGAGACCAATACTAAATATGTTATTATTTAAATTTTTATTTTTGAAAATTTTGACATTAAATATTATTTATGGACTTAATATAAAAAAGGTTAATAACTAAATAGTATAATATTTTATATATTACTATATTTTTATAATAAAAATGTAAAATTCTGTGCGTAGCATAGAATATTAAACAAAGTGAAATACAAGGGTGAAATACAAAAGTGAAACAGATCAACGTGGTGAAACACAAATCACCGAAAACCTAGATCAAATACATGATAAAAAAACTAAAAATCAAACAAGGGAAAATATACAAAAGGTCATAGAAAAGAATAAGAGAAATGATACTATAGATTAGTTAGCGTAATGATCAGAATATAAATTTCCGCTATCTTTCTCACCCATTCCTTTTTGAATTTGGACAGATAGAAAAAATGATCTGGTACTTTTATATATATATATATATATATTTTTAATGTAAAATTGGTACTTTGATTTAGATTTCTAAATTTTGGTAAAAATTGGTTACTATAATAATTTTAGTTCAGACATGATTTCGTTGAAATTTCATGCTGTAATTTATAAGTTTCAAAAATCTAATAAAGTCCTACCACAAATAAATAAGTTAGTTATCAAAACATATATTAGCAAGATACTTCGGGTTGATTTACAGAAAAATCGCCTTTTCTGTTTTCGTGTTTTCCTGATCTATTTTGAGTTTATTTATTAAAAATTACAGTCTAAGAAAGTTTAAGCAGCTATATTATAAATAGGGATACTCAGATAATATACTACACCTCATTCGAAACTAAACAAGTCTAAGAAAAATACAAAAACTTCCACATGTCTCTCTCTGCCTCCAACGTTGTTGCACGTATGTTGCCTTCTCCCGCCGCCATGAAACAAAACCCCCTGAAACGCAAACGCGAAGATAAGATCACTCAAGATAAAGCTGTATCTGTGGCTATGCATAAAGAAGACGACGAGCGTGAACATACCGAGCCTCCTCCTCCGTCTTGGGGAGTTCTAGACGTTCTTGGCAATTACATGGAGCCTAAGACTCTCTGCGTCGCCTCTTGCGTCTCAACCGCGTGGTTACGCTGTTTTTCCTCGGAGGATCTATGGAAGTATATCATGATGGCACGGTTCACACAAACCCTCTTCTCCCTATAAGTTTGCCTTGGAATCCACGGAAACCATCTCCTACAAACACCTCGTCTCCGCCGTTGAAAGGGACGCGAAACGCCGCCGCAAAGATAAACCGGCGGAGCTCAAGATATCCCTCTCGGATCTCAGCTTTATCGTCCACGTGTCAGCTGGAACAAAGGAAACATCGGTTCTCATAAAGGGGGAAGACCTCGAGTTTGGCCCTAATGACAAGTTCCATATCGAAGTCGACTTAAGCAACTCCGGGATCACTGCCGGTGAGAAGGACGTGAGGCTGACGTGTCAAGTTGTGTACAAAAGTACTTGGGAAAACTTCTTCACGTTAGCGGATACTACAGGATCGTTGAACACAAGCTATGGGTGGTTCACTGATGAACTTAAGGACAAGGATAACCGCAAGCTCGTAGGCGACGTCAAGCCAAGTTTTAACGGCGATGTTCTTAACAAGAATGGATTTGCGATAGTTGACTCGGACGGCTGGGGATCTCTGTTAGTTGATGGGTTTTTGAGATATCTTCAGCGGTTTTTGTTTGGAATAGCTTTTGTATTTTGACAATAATCTCGCGTGATCGATCGGTATAAGAAACAAGTTTGCTTAGCAAGTAACCTAGAGATTTTAAACTATATTTTACACTCCTTTTCCTTTTCTATATATTATGTATTGTATTAATTAAATTCAATAAATTATAAACTTCATGCTCAAGCTTTCGAGATTTGTTCTGAATTATATTTCCTCCTCACTTTCACCAATTTCCACAATTTTGTGAAAGATGAAAGAAAGAAAAAAGGAATAACAATTGGGCTTGGACTATAAAAGCACACATATAAACATTTTAAAGTTTTTACATGAAGCCCACATCGGCTTCAGGCCCACCAGAGATTAAACCATTCGCTGGAAACAGTCTGGTCTGGTGAGTATCGACAGCGAAAACGAAGCGTTGTTGCTCTAATGACTTCGATGGAGACGATGCTCTGCAATACCTCAATCTTCTTCTTCTTCCTTTTCCTCACCTTCTAGATTTAAGCTTTATTCGATTCATCTTCTTGTTAAGATACTATCGTTTCTTCCATCAAAAACTGTTGTATCCACTAGCATTTTGTCTGAGATATGGGAGTTTCTTTGGATGTGGTTGTCTAAACTCGAGTACATAAACGATTTCAGTAGTCCAAAGCCTTCGCTTCGAGATTTTATCAAAAATAATCTGCCTTTACTAAATCATTTCAGCCTGAGGATGTTAAACTGTAGGTTGGAAATTTGGAATCTCGGTTTCTCTTTGTTTGCGCGAGCTATTTATCGATTATTCTTTCAACAACGGTTCTTATGCGCATCTCTTGTGACATGATTATTCTTGTGGATGTTCCTCGAGCGTTTTCTCTGCCTTCATTGAGAACTCTGCATCTTCGGGACCTGACATACTTAAACGAAGATTCTCCTGGCCTTGCTTCTATTTTATTGTCCTTTGTTTTAATTATGTTATTCAAACTAACTAAACATAAACGAACCAAAACCATCACTTATTTTTTGCAATAGACTGAGATGTTCTTGATTCTTTTTATTTTAAATTTATATTTCTAATTCATCAAAATTATATAAAAAAAATTATTTTAACTAAGATTTCAACACTAATATTACATAAACAACCCAAAAACCTATATATTGGATTCTTTCTATCATAAACTCGTATTTCTAGTTCATCAAAATCTTATAATTTTGTTTATAGAAAAAATTAAAACTAATGCAACATAAACTAACCAAAAACCGATATATTTTTTTTGTTTGCAACAGATTGACATGTATTTGGTTATTCCTATTCTTAAAACTTGTATTTATACAATTCATCAAAATCCTATTAAAAAATCCTCTTAAAAAATACATTGACTAAATTTAAAAAAAAATAAAGTATAAATGAATAAAGAATACATTTTTTTCCAATAGATCAACACATATTTGCTTCTTTTTATTCTTAAAATTTGTGTTTGCTTCTTTCTATTCTTAAAATTTGTATTTCTAGAATTTTAATGTTAAAAATGTTATAATTTGAAATGAGATCTAAGAAGCATTCAACCGAATAAAGTAAATAACAAAATTATTTTCATAATATAAATATACATAGTTGCATAAGTGCCTCTAAATTAATATTAAGTATGAAGATCTACATGATAGGATGATGAAGATTGTATTTCGATATTTGATATGACAAGTGTAACTATAAAACTCATACAAGTATTTTTGTCTTCTTTACTTCTTATCAAGTCTTTATTTTTATGAAGATTTGTATGCATCTTGATAGGATAATAAAGATTGTATCTTGAGATTCGATATGACAAGTGTAATTATAGGATAATGAAGATTATATTTTGATATTTGATATGACAAGTGCAACTATAAAATCCAAACAAATTTTTTGATATTCTTCACTTCTTATCAAATCTTTATTTTTACGAAGATCTATATGCCTTTTGATAGGATAATGAAGATTGTATTTCGATATTTGATATGACAAGTGTTATTATAAGATAATGAAAATTGTATTTTGATATTTGATATGACAGGTGTAACTATATAACCCACACAAGTTTTTTGCTCTTCTTCACTTCTTATCAATGACTTACACTTCTGTCCTTGCACTTGTAATCTTGAGGTAAGAATAATTCATGCATATTGTAGATGATTGTTTATGTCTTGAAACGTTTGGATTTGTTGTTCATGTTATGAGATTAAAACATAATTATTTACTTCGTAAATAGATAAGATTTTTCATCCTCATACTTGCGTATAACTGTACAACTTGTGCAAAATACGACTATATTGTTTCTTGAAAAATGGATCATAATATAGAAAATGATTGTCTAGATTTGTTGGTGTCACTAGGTTGAATGCAATCTTGGAAAAGATTGGAAATGCAGAGGAGATTCGTATTCCCATGGATCTTGTAGTTCTCATACTATCGCACCTTTCATTGAAAGACAACATCCGTGCTTCTTCTGTTTGCAAGGCATGGCATAAAGCTGCTGTTTCGGTTCGGCGTAATTCTCCCTGGCTTGTGTATTTTGACCATGATTATCTAACCGGCTTCTCTTTTGGGTTTTACGATCCAACGGAGAAGATTAAAACCAGGTCGATTTTACTACCTAATCAACCCCTTTACGCAAGCCTCTGTTGCTCCAAAGATGGGTGGTTACTACTAATCGTAAATTACCAAGAAGATGATCCCGCTAGCTTAGTATTCTTCAATCCATTTACTCGAGTGTACATAATTCTGCCAAGATTGATAGCAATTGAAAACTTTAGAGCTGACTACGCTTTCTCTTGTGCTCCTACAAACGAGAGTTGTGTGGTGTGTTGCATTATTGATCGCACAGAAGATAGTTTTCTCATCCACACTTGGGACTTCGGTGCAGTTGAATGGGTAACCGATGAGTTCCATAAACCATCACCTTCAAAGTTTTGTGGAAGCAACATTATCACATTCTCTGATGGTTGTTTTTGGTTTCTGGATGAAGATGGTCTAGGAGTATTCAATCCAGTTGCACGTACGTGGGATAAGCTTTGTGTACCACTTCCGAAACCAATCCCCTTTCTCATGTGGATTATGGAGTACAAAGGGAACATATTTCTTGCAAGTCGTGTTAACAATATGGCGGAAACGGAAGTCATCTTGTTTGGACTTAACCGGTTTGGGTTGGTTTGGGAAAAGAAGGAATCATTCGATGGTTCGTCCATCTTTGTCAGTAATAAATCAAGCATTATGACAAATGGGCTCAATCGGGATATGAATAACGTTGTGCATGTGTGGTATTTGGGCCATTTGTCCAAATTCTCCTTGTCTACAAGGCATTTATGTACGGACTTTTCAATCAATAGTGGGAGTCATTCTAGGGCCTGGATCGAGCCGCCCCAAGACATCTATATCTATGAGTTTCCCATTGTAGAGCCCAATTAGGCAAATAATTAAGTCATCTATGTTTCTGAGTTTTGAGATTTAAAATTTCAGAATAATGTTTTTATATTTTATTGATTCAGCTCGCTGTGTATTCTAATAGCAAGAGATAAATAGTTATGTTGGCTTTTGCAAAAGAAGAAACAAAAGACTAAAAATCAATCCTATAATATTTGATAAATGATTCAGTTGAATAGAGAAGCAAAGGTGTACACAAACAATGTAGTCTTTTATTTTTGAAGAATTGAAGCATATTGGTCATGTGAATGTGAAGTATGAGAAATACAGAGGAATCAACTGATTTATTGGACATTTTAGCCCAACACTCTTAATGCATGTGTATTAGACATTTAATTCTCACATTGTAGAAGAGCCCAACATTATAAATACCTTTTACACTTTGGAAGAACACTAGGATCAAACCTGTAATCTTATGGAAAGACAACAAAAATGGAACACCATTAGTCCATTTATTTTTTCTCTGATATAAGCTTTAATTTATATTATGTTTATTCGGCTTGTTTTAAACTAAATTATTAATTTTTTCGTCAAAAAGATGTAGTTTTTTTTTTCAATTAAAATTAAAGTTTCTGGAAGTTAATGTAAGGAAGATTTTTTGTTAATTTATAAATTTATTTTTAGGTTTAAACTCATTAAAAGGCAATACAAATTACATTTGACACAGCAAAATTAGTTTAGAAAATATCATATTTAAAAATTGCAAGATAAGTTAAACAATATTTATGAAATTGAACAAAAATAAAATCATATTTTTATTTATATGTGCATATGTGTATGATTATTAATTTATTTTATTACTGGGATCATATATTTAAATACGAGTTAAGAAATGTATTATCTTATTATCTTGGAATATTATTGTATTATCGAATTTTACTAATTTTTACACTAACCTTACTTAAACCCCACAACTTGTTTTTATCAAAGTTTACTTTATAAAATTTTTACTGTACATGCTTTTATACATTTTGATATGATAATGACGATTTATTTTTATTCTTGGTATTCTAACCTTACTTTAAATATATCAAAACTCAATAACAAGTAAAATCTTTCAAAAAAATCTGAAATTAGGACTATGATCTAAACAATTAAAAAAAAAAAATACAACTATGAATTTAATTATATTCAAGTCAATTAATATAAAAAACTATATACATACCTATATACAATACTAAATTCGGATCTAATAGGATTTATAATAACAAAATTTTAAATTCATTAAAATAATTTGAAAAACATAAAATCAGTCATTGGTAATATATATTAAAAACATAAAACCAAAATCTAAGTGTTGGGACCTTTTTTACCGGATCGAACGAGGACTCGCCACATAGGCTTATACTACATCGATTACTGACAACACATCACACTAGCTCAGCCGATCCATTCCCATGTAGTGTACCGGGGCAGTTGGCAGGCTTCCCCCAACACGCCAGAATGATTACACCCACCTGCTCTCCGGGTATGCGGCTTGGAAGGGACATGACAAGGGATGGCAAGTATAAATAGAAGAAAAACCCTTTAAAGGAAAGAAGAGAGAAAAAAGAGGACGATCGGAGAGAACTGCCCTCCGACGTCTGAGACAATATTCCGGACCATATAGCAGGATCACGTGTAAGTTATTGTCCTGGAACCTTGCCTTTGTACTCGCTACATCTCCCTTCTCACAAGTAGAAAGCCCTCTTAAAAAACTCTAAACCAGACAGAAGTCTCGATCCCCGGACGAAACCCCTAACGATCAACTCATAAACCTCCCCCCCCCCCCCGAGCACTTGTTCCCGGTAGACGTTCATTAACTTGGGCGTTGGAGAACCTTCAGAAGGGAAACCCCCTTTCGGTCCTTCCCGAAGGCCCTTCTGACGTTTGCTTAAGTGTCTGCAGGATCAGACACGACATATGCCCGCCGCTTAGTGACAGGAAGCTCCCCCCCCCCCCCCCCCCCCCCCCCCCCCCCCCCCCCGGAATGGCGATTCGCCGCCCTTTCCTTCATAGAACGAAACTCAGAGACCCGGATAAAGTCCTACCACAAATAAATAGGTTAGTTATCAAAACATATATTAGCAAGATACTTTGGGTTGATTTACAGAAAATCGCCTTTTCTGTTTTCGTGTTTTCCTGATCTATTTTGAGTTTGTTTATTAAAAATCACCGTCTAAGAAAGTCTAAGCAGCCATATTATAAATAGGGATACTCAGATAATATACTACACCTCATTCGAAACTAAACAAGTCTAAGAAAAATACAAAAACTTCCACATGTCTTTCTCTGCCTCCAACGTTGTTGCACGTATGTTGCCTTCTCCCGCCGCCATGAAACAAAACCCCCTGAAACGCAAACGCGAAGATAAGATCACTCAAGATAAAGCTGTATCTGTGGCTATGCATAAAGAAGACGACGAGCGTGAACATACCGAGCCTCCTCCTCCGTCTTGGGGAGTTCTAGACGTTCTTGGCAATTACATGGAGCCTAAGACTCTCTGCGTCGCCTCTTGCGTCTCAACCGCGTGGTTACGCTGTTTTTCCTCGGAGGATCTATGGAAGTATATCATGATGGCACGGTTCACACAACCCTCTTCTCCCTATAAGTTTGCCTTGGAATCCACGGAAACCATCTCCTACAAACACCTCGTCTCCGCCGTTGAAAGGGACGCGAAACGCCGCCGCAAAGATAAACCGGCGGAGCTCAAGATATCCCTCTCGGATCTCAGCTTTATCGTCCACGTGTCAGCTGGAACAAAGGAAACATCGGTTCTCATAAAGGGGGAAGACCTCGAGTTTGGCCCTAATGACAAGTTCCATATCGAAGTCGACTTAAGCAACTCCGGGATCACTGCCGGTGAGAAGGACGTGAGGCTGACGTGTCAAGTTGTGTACAAAAGTACTTGGGAAAACTTCTTCACGTTAGCGGATACTACAGGATCGTTGAACACAAGCTATGGGTGGTTCACTGATGAACTTAAGGACAAGGATAACCGCAAGCTCGTAGGCGACGTCAAGCCAAGTTTTAACGGCGATGTTCTTAACAAGAATGGATTTGCGATAGTTGACTCGGACGGCTGGGGATCTCTGTTAGTTGATGGGTTTTTGAGATATCTTCAGCGGTTTTTGTTGGAATAGCTTTTGTATTTTGACAATAATCTCGCGTGATCGATCGGTATAAGAAACAAGTTTGCTTAGCAAGTAACCTAGAGATTTTAAACTATATTTTACACTCCTTTTCCTTTTCTATATATTATGTATTGTATTAATTAAATTCAATAAATTATAAACTTCATGCTCAAGCTTTCGAGATTTGTTCTGAATTATATTTCCTCCTCACTTTCACCAATTTCCACAATTTTGTGAAAAATGAAAGAAAGAAAAAAGGAATAACAATTGGGCTTGGACTATAAAAGTACACATATAAACATTTTAAAGTTTTTACATGAAGCCCACATCGGCTTCAGGCCCACCAGAGATTAAACCATTCGCTGGAAACAGTCTGGTCTGGTGAGTATCGACAGCGAAAACGAAGCGTTGTTGCTCTAATGACTTCGATGGAGACGATGCTCTGCAATACCTCAATCTTCTTCTTCTTCTTTTTCCTCACCTTCTAGATTTAAGCTTTATTCGATTCATCTTCTTGTTAAAATACTATCGTTTCTTCCATCAAAAACTGTTGTATCCACTAGCATTTTGTCTGAGATATGGGAGTTTCTTTGGATGTGGTTGCCTAAACTCGAGTACATAAACGATTTCAATAGTTCAAAGCCTTCGCTTCGAGATTTTATCAAAAATAATCTTGCTTTACTAAATCATTTCAGCCTGAGGATGTTAAACTGTAGGTTGGAAACTTGGAATCTCGGTTTCTCTTTGTTTGCGCGAGCTATTTATCGATTATTCTTTCAACAACGGTCCTTATGTGCATCTCTTGTGACATGATTATTCTTGTGGATGTTCCTCAAGCGTTTTCTCTGCCTTCATTGAGAACTCTGCATCTTCGGGACCTGACATACTTAAACGAAGATTCTCCTGGCCTTGCTTCTATTTTATTGCCCTTTGTTTTAATTATGTTATTCAAACTAACTATACATAAACGAACCAAAACCATCACTTATTTTTTGCAATAGACTGAGACGTTCTTGATTCTTTTTATTTTAAATTTGTATTTCTAATTCATTAAATTATATAAAAAAAATATTTTAACTAAGATTTCAACACTAATAATACATAAACAACCCAAAAACCAATATATTTGATTCTTTCTATCCTAAACTCGTATTTCTAGTTCATCAAAATCTTATAATTTTGTTTATAGAAAAAATTAAAACTAATGCAACATAAACTAACCAAAAACCGATACATTTTTTTTGTTTGCAACAGATTGACATGTATTTGGTTATTCCTATTCTTAAAACTTGTATTTATACAATTCATCAAAATCCTATTAAAAAATCCTCTTAAAAAATACATTGACTAAATTTAAAAACAAATAAAGTATAAATGAATAAAGAATACATTTTTCTTTCCAATAGATCAACACGTATTTGCTTCTTTTTATTCTTAAAATTTGTGTTTACTTCTTTCTATTCTTAAAATTTGTATTTCTAGAATTTTAATGTTAAAAATGCTATAATTTGAAATGAGATCTAAGAAACATTCAACCGAATAAAGGAAATAACAAAATTATTTTTATAATATAAATATACATAGTTGCATAAGTGCCTCTAAATTAATATTAAGTATGAAGATCTACATGATAGGATGATGAAGATTGTATTTCGATATTTGATATGACAAGTGTAACTATAAAGTCCATACAAATATTTTGGTCTTCTTTACTTCTTATCAAGTCTTTATTTTTATGAAGATTTGTATGATTTTTTAGTTTCAAGGTGGTTACACATTACACTACACAACCAGCTGGCTTGGCTATATTCACAGTTCACACTTGTTGCTGTCGTTCAAATAATATAACCAGGTGCTATTTCTTCTTTTACTAATATCATGACATCTGGTTATGCAAGACGGCTGAAAAGAAAAGCAGCTGAATTATCTGGTCAATCTCAAAAGGGTGCTTTAGATAAATTTGTTATAAAACGAAA